GGGGGGGAGGAGAGGGGAGGGTGGCAGAGGGTGAGGTGACGTTGGGTTGGGCCAGTCAAGGGCATGCCTTTGTGAAGTTGGCACAGCCAGAGAGGTGGTGCACCTCCTTTCTTGACGGGAAAAGTCGTTTTCCATCTGTTTTCAAGTTGTCCCTTTCCTTCTTTTTTGTTTTTTCCCCCCTCCAAGTCATGGACAAAGAATTAAATTCAATTAATTAATAAATGGAATTTTGGAACAAGGGTAATGGCACTGCCATTGATGTATCACATCTGACAGACAAACGGAGAGGGAAATGAAAAGAAAAAGGGTTAAAGCAAATGTCTACCTTCTGATCGCCATGTGCATGCTGGTTAAGAGAAGATTGTCGTGCTCGTGATGATTTGAGTATCTCCTGTGCAGTTTCCTTGCACTACTTATCTTGTCTGGATTTATTAATCATTGGATGTGGCGATTGTCGTCATCGTGCCCGCATCTGGAGCAACTTTCAGTCTAGAAACAGCAGTTGTGACAGGCCGTTTTATTTGGGCGAAGATGGTAGTCTGATCGTTATGTGCATGCTGGTCAAGAGAAGTCTGCGGTGCTTGCAATTTGACTTTCTCCTGGGCGGTTTCCTTTGCAGTTGTCATGTCTGGATTTATTAATCGCATGATTTGATGTCGCAATCGTTGCAACGGCATGCTGTTCTTCATGCACGATTCTTTGGTTGCAGTCTTTGATCAGCGTTTACAACTGGGCATCCCAGGAGATGTTGAGTTTCTCCTGTGCGGTTCCCTTGCAGTTATCTTGTCTCGATTTATTAATTGCTTGGTTGGATGTGGTGTAATGTCACACTATTCTTCATGTGCGATTCTTTTTTTCACTGGCGGCAGTCTTTGATCAGCGTTTGCAACTGGGCGTCCCAGAAGGAGATGTTCCAGAAACCCGGTGTCCCAGAACTGTCAGCTCAAGCGGTTGGGGTACTGGAGTTTGCCCTTGGGAGCGCCCAGGAGCTGATGGCAGACTCAGAGGACATCGAGAGGCTCCATGCAATCATTCTTGCGCATATGAGCGAGCTCGAGAAACTTGAAGCGACGGCCAGAGAATTCAATTTTGGTGGTGACGACTCTCGGCCGTCCATCTCCATTGGTGTGCGGCTGGTGCGTATCTCTCAGTCTATGTCTGTCCTTCTCACATTGAATCACAAATCGCTTGAGATCTTAATCATCTAACACCACCCGTTAAATGATCAAATTGTCTCTGTCAGACAATTTAAATGTGCCCTCCTTCGGCCAATCCCTGCTTCTCCAGGGCTCTCTCGGAATCTCTCTGCTTCTACCTCTCCCCCGCCACCCCCAATAAGGAAGGGGAAATAGGAAAGAGGCTGTTCGGGTTGGGGTGTGTTTGGTATAGTGCCTTGTTCTGTTTATCTACTTACCGATGGAAAAGTGGCCGGATTCATGCTCATCAGAATGGAAACCAGCCAGAGCCATAAGACTATGTTAATGCCTTTTTTTTTCCCTTTTTTTTTAATTTGGACCATTTCCCGATTTATGCACGCCATCCTCGCGCAGGGGCCATGGTAATCTTTTTTTTTTTTTTTTTTTTTWAAACACAAGCTCCATCTATTGGTGGGGAGCARCACCTGCTGGAAACCGGGTCCAGCGTCCCATAGATACAACCATATCCTCACAAATTGGCACAAACTGGGAACCGGGCCCAGCGTCCCATAACAAGCACATTCAGAAAAGTTGTGAGAAGATTCAGAAAATTCCATGAAAATAAGATTAGGAGCCTACTAAGAATTTTAGAACTATTCCAGACCTTTTTGCGGGAGAGACTTCAGAGTCAGACAAAGTTCGGAAAACCCTCAAGGATCCACCATCAGTCCTCTTACCTCACTCCGGCAAGACTTACTGCAGCAAAGCCACCATCTCTACTGCTGCTATGCCCTATTTCTATCTCTACCAGCTGGCCCCTTCACTAGTAGGATGCGTGGTGTCTTTCTCTCACTCTCCTGGATCCCTCTCTTACCTGTTACCCGGCTTGGCTAAAAAGCCATCTGAGAAAGCTTACCGTTATTCGAAAGGTATGGGAATAGCCTGCCGAAGTCCTGCAAATGCCCCTGAACCCGCGAAATCCCTAACACAACCTTCTAAGGTTTTCCAACACTGTCCTACTCCCTGCCGAGCTCTTCCAGGCCTCACACTCCCTCATCCTGCTGGGTTACAGGGCAACACAACTCACCCGAGCTCCGGCCAGCGTCGTCCCAGCAGCAACCCTTGGTTGTCCCGTGGAGTGCCCCCCCAAAGCACCCCCAGATCTCTCTACCAGGCCTCATGCTCCTGCATCAGCAGGTTACAGGGCAACGCCCCAGCTCCGGCCAGCGTCGTTCTGGCATCGAACAGCCGCAGGTCACCGAGTATAACAGCCTCAGTACCACCTAAACAAGGTTGCCAGGAGTCCCCAGAATCCAGGAGACATTTTTAGGGCAAAACAGACTACCCCCTCTTTTTAAGAACAGATTGCAACATTTTCTGAAAATTTTGAGAAAACCTAAGAAAATTTTTGGAAAAAACTCCTAAGGTAATTCCTAGCCCTCCTTTCCCCGGGACATACTCACTCAGGGACATCACCCATAGCTGAATCTCTTCTCGCCACTACGCAGCCCCCCCGATTTGCCACTGGCTTGCCCTCCACCCTCGGCAAACCCCAGATCTCTCTACAAGGCCTCATGCTCCTACGAATTGCAGGTCACAGGGCGACGCCCCAGCTCCGGCCAGCGTCGTTCTGGCATCGGCAAAACAGGGGCACAGAACAAATTAGCTATTCGGATGTCAGTCCCGGTGTGACCCTCTCTGACCTCCTACACCCCAGTTACATGTAAGGGCTAAGTACTACCCAGGATCCAGAACCAGAGAACCTTAGTACGGACTGCACAGACAACCATCCACCCACTCTCCCCGCAACTATTGGAGAAAACTACAGGCCTCGTGTTCAGTCCTCAAGCGACACACAGCTGGTCTCATACCCTCCCATGCTAGAGTTACAGGACCCCACCAAGCCCCAGTACCGACCAACCTGGCAACGATGGTGAGGAGTGCCTTCCACCCTCGGCAACTCCCCATAGCCGCACGCCCCAAAACGGTGACAGGGATACACCCCAGCTACGGCCACGTCGAAAGTGCTGGTTCTGTCTTCCTCCTTCGACAGGGGCCATGGTAATCTTCTCTGTATTGTTCCAATTTTAATGGATGTCCTGAATGACATGTTAGTACGGTTTCTTTGTTTCTTTCTGTTTTTTGTCCTTTGTATTTTTTGTTTGAATTTCTTTCACCGAAAAGTCCAAAAAGGATTCCCGTGGTTTTGGTGTTCGAGCCGGTATGGAAATCCCAGTTCATTTATGAATGTATGCACTATGCATGCCTCTCTCTCTCAACCACTCAGCTCTCACGTTCGGAAGTTTGCCGTTGACAGCAGACAGAGGAGCAGCTGAACCACCACCTTTTTTTCCCTGTTAGTTCTTAGCTTAGCTTAGCCTGCTTTGGGATAGTGAATTTGGATCGAGTGAGAAAATAAACATCATCATCATCATCATCGGGGACTAAAGGATCTCATCATAAGGGGGATTAAGGGCTCGATCATCAGAGGTCTTAGAACTGGCGTCTTTAGGGGTTTGAGGGCACTCATAATGAGGGGATTAAGGGCTCTCATTGTCAGGGGATTGAGGGGTCTCATCACCAGGAGATTTGCAGCTCTCATAATCAGGAGATTCGGGGCTGTGATATTCAGGAGATTAGGGGCTCTCAAGCTGGGGTTGACGGGTTTGGAGGGTTGACCACGCAGTTGGGTGAAGTAAGGTGGTTCTGCAATGGACAGGCGAACAAACTGTCACCAGTAAGAAGGATCGAACGAATTGTCATCAGTAACAAGGATCGGTCAGTGTTGTATGTGAAGCACAATTCTCAAATGATGCGCTGTACGTTCATCCGTCCAGACCAAATTGGGTTGACCGCCTCCCCGACATCGAGTTCGCCTACAACACTTCCTTGCATCCGGCAATCGGCGTGACTCCATTCGAGTTGCACCACTGTGGCCGGAAAGGTCGTATCTTCGCTGATCTCTTATTGCCATGGACTGCCGACATAAACGACCGTTGCTCGCCCGCCTCCGTTCGGAAGTACCGACACTTGCTAACCCAAGTTCGCGCTAACATGCAAAAGGCTCAAGTCCGCATGCAGCGGCAAGCCAATAGGCATCGCGTGCCATGTCCTATCTGCGCCGGTGACCTTGTTTGGTCTCCACGGAAGAGTTTGAGCTTGAACAAGACGTTTCACGCAAACTAGTCCCCAAATGGTTTGGACCTTCGACCGCCACATCAGCCTCGGGCAACGAGCCTGATGGTCCATCATTTGCAACCGACATCCCGCCTCATCTGCCGGTCCACCTGGTCTTCCACGCCTCCAAGCGAGGACTTCCCATACTGACGATTGCAGGACCCTCCTTGCATGGATGGTCATCAGGAGATCGATCGCGTCGTCACGCACCGCAAGTATTGCAACAAGCCGATGCAGCACGAGGTTACATTTTAGCAGTGCGACCACGACGACACACGGTGGATTTGACGTGCAGACCTGCAAGCATCCGCACCACTGATCTACACCCACTACGAGCGACAACGACTAGCGAAGGAAGCTGCACAACATGCCCCTCCCACCCGGAGTTTGGTCCCTCTCTCCGATAGACAGCTTTGCCATCCGCACCGCTGACCTATGCCCTCTACGAGCGACAACGACTATCGAAGGAAGCTGCACAACCTGCCCCTCCCACCCGGAGTTCGGTCCCTCACTCCGAGAGACAGCTTTGCCCTCACAGGTAAAGCTCGGTCTTTCAAAGAGAGGGGTGTCTGGCATTCTCTGTTCCACACGGGCCCCTCGCAGGGCCCGGTCCATAGGACTAGGGGGTTAGTAGGGTTTTTTTTTT